TAGATAGATAGATAGATAGATAGATAGATAGATAGATAGATAGATAGATAGAACACATGGCCGGCAAGCCACTCCCACCAGGTCACATGGCCGACAAGCCACTCCCACAAAGGAGGCCACACCCACAGAGTAGGTTCGAAAAGTTTTTGAAACCCACCACTGGTTGGGAGGACACTCAATTTTGGGGGTCCAGGAAATATTGCAGATCATTCCTAAGCAAGCTTGTCTTGCAACTTTGATGAGTTGGTTTTGGGGCATATTTTCCGGACTATCTAAGGAAAAATCCCATAGAAGAACCCATCACAACTCAGGGATGGCTTAGCCTACGGGAAGCGTGTTTCCTCGGTTTCATGCTACAAGCAAAACATGGTGTATTCCGCCTTAAGACATTCTCACGTCCTCATTCAGCAGATTTTTGCTCCGAGCGGGCGGCTACGGTACCTATCATGTAGGAGAGGATAAGGTTCCACCCTGTGGTGAAGGCCCAAATTTCCCCAACGGTGACGTAGCTGTAGAGGTAGGCAGAACCGGCCTTGGGCACCCGGGCGCCAAACTCTGCGTAGCACAAGCCAGCCAGAACAGAAGAGACGGCCGCAATGAAGAAACAGATCACAATAGACGGGCCAGCCAGATCCTTGGCCACCTCTCCGGACAAGACGTAGACGCCCGCTCCAAGGGTGCTGCCCACTCCTAGAGCAATCAGGTCTACGGTGGAGAGGCAACGGGCCAGCTGAGTTTCCTGCGAGCCCAGGTTCACCGTCCGCTGCCGGATCAGCTTCTTGCCAAAGTTGGTCAAGGTTTTCTTCAGCATCCTGGCAAAGGGTGGCGCCACGTCCTGTCTCCCGAAAGGACCTAGCGGAGGAAACCGTAGAGATGGTCAGCCAGCAGTGGGGGAGGAAGGCCTGCAGTCTTCCCAGGGAGCTCAAGATGGGAGACCCAACCCAAGCTTGGGGGTGCCTGGGCTGGGTTACCCCAGCGTAGCTGAGCTGAGTTCCCTCCTTCCAGGGCCAGCTCTGTTGGCAAACACCTCTTGCTCGGCTGAAAAGCCTCCTTGCGCCATCTCCGAGTGGATTCGACAGGAATCGTACTCAGGGCATAATGCTGAGAAAGTGCAGTCCAGGCACCCAAAGACTACTCTAGAAATTATATTTTTAGAGGAGCGGAGATGCAAGGTGACCGGTTGCCCAAATCCGCCTATTTGGGAACCCGGATTAAAGGCTACATTTTGGAAAACCTAGACAGAGCTGGGAACGAGACTGCCATCTTAGGAAAAACGCTCCGGCCAAAGCAGCAGAGGTAGCCAGCTGTGGTTACACATTACACCTCTGTGCATCACAGACTCTGCAGAAGTTAGCAAAGGAAAACAGCTCCCCCCCTCCGTCAACTACTCGGGATTAATTGCGTTTACATAAGCTGCTCATTGGAATAAACGGCAGGGAGGCACCTTCCGTTATTAACCGATTGAAGCTAACTTCAGTTAACAGGCGACAGGACAAACTTGAGCTAAGCCAGGCTGGACGAGACCCTCGAGACCATCATCAGACACAGCAGCATGTGACTCACGGGGCAAGATAAGGCTCCAGGGTGGGATTATGCAGAACGAGTCTCTTCCGCCCACCCACCCACCCACCCACCGATTTTGCCTCGTTTTCATCCTTCCGACTCTCTCACCAGCGAGTCAGCGGCTCCTGCCATTCAACATGCTACGTACTGGATCTGGCGCGATTTTGGCTTCCTACATCCTGGGAACTCAACCACAATGCTTTGTAAACCACGGTTTATAACTTAGCCCGATTTGCAAACCTGGCTCGCACTTTACTCATTAGTCAATCCCAATAAGACTGAGTGGCTTTAGCAATATAGCAGTAGACTTATATACCGCTTCATAGGGCTTTCAGCCCTCTCTAAGCGGTTTACAGAGAGTCAGCCTCTTTCCCCCAACAATCCGGGTCCTCATTTTACCCACCTCGGAAGGATGGAAGGCTGAGTCAACCCTGAGCCGGTGAGATTTGAACCGCTGAACTGCTGATCTAGCAGTAGCCTGCAGTGCTGCATTTAACCACTGCGCCACCTTGGCTCTTCACATTTTTCTAGTGGCTGTCTGCCGATAAA